GAGTAAAAGGGAAATGGGTACCCAAAAGATTTTAAAATAAAGAAAAATTGGGTATCAAATTGGGGAGGAGGAAATTGGAAGAAAAGGGGAAAGTTTTCAGATACTTGGGGGTTGACGGTCGGCGGATGGAATTTAAAGAAGGATAGGTTAAACATAGAATTGAGGGGGGAAAACAGTTTTTGGGGTGGTGCGCGAAAGGGAAGGGATCAAAAAAAAGTTATCTATGGAGGGAAAGAAAAGGGGAATTTTTAAATAAAGTATACCAACACCTTATTGGTTGAAGCTTGGGTGGGAAATGCAGCAGGGGGGAGAAAGGTTTTGGGGGCAGTGGAGATGGGCCTGTTTTTAAAGGGGAATGGTGGTGTAAATATTATGCAAAATTCGGGGTTTTGGAAAATTTGGAAAGGGGGTGGAGCTCATAAAAGTATTAGTCCCGAGGCAAAAAGAGGGGTTTTTTTAGGTAGTTTGGGCCCTTTAAAAGAGGAAAAGGGTCAAAGGGGAATGACAGGGGAAAACATATAAATCTATAGGGGAAGGGGAAAGGGGGGGTAGGGGATGTCCTCGAAAGGGTTGGAGAAGGGGGGAAAGGGGGTTTTTTTGGGGAAGGGGCTTGGGCTTTCCAAAAACCCAAACGTGCCAGCGGTTGATAGGAGTGAATGGAGACGAATGGGACTTGGGGCCTGACGATCTGTTTTGGAGTGGAGCAGGGTAAATTTAGTGAAGGGGTTTTAGGGGAAAACCGGGTTTTTTTCATAAAAGTCCGACTTGAGTCCTGGAAATGGGAAGTACAAGGGCCCGCACTTTAAAGGGGGGTTTGGGTTTTTGGCATTTGGAGGGTAGTTTTGTATCTTTTTTATGTGTATGCTTTTAAAAATGTTGTATTCTGAGCACCCGCAAAAACATGAAAATTGGGGAGTGGGGGGGGAAAGTGTTAATGATGAGGGAAAATATTTTCTTTTTTGGGGGTTTCTTTCTTTTTTTGGGGCACCCCCGTTTTTTGGGGGGAGACGGCCGACTTGTTGAGAAAAAAAAATAATATATAATTCTTTTTTTTCAACACACCGGGCCCATCCCACCGAGGGGGGGGTGGCCCAAAAGGAAAAAAAGAAAGTTTCTTTCCCCCTTTTCATTTTTAATATATACAGGAGAAGAGGTTACTAGCCCCTTGCTCCCGGCCTTTTAAATTGCCCCTTTCAACACGCATGAATTAAAGGAGGGGAAAATTCTGTTCCACTTTCCCATGGGGGGTAAGAGAAAATAAAAAACAAGAACAAGAACCTTTTAAGAAAATAAATTAAAAAAACCCAGAGGGGTGTGTGTATATAATCATGACAAGTTGTGTGTGTGACCCAAGTGTAAGTAGAAGTACAAGACATACCTGAAAAATTGCAAGGTTTTTTGGGGGACAGAAAAAAAGGACACCAAACAATCCTAAACCCTCATGCAAAACCAAATTTCAACTTCCGTTTTTTACACCACTTGGCAGGGCGGGAAAAAAACCCCCCTGGGCGGTTTCCCGTCTACCAACCTACTACCTATATATATATAACTTTCTTTCTTTTTTAAAACAAACCCGCCGAAACCCACCGAAGGGGGGGTGGCCCCCAAAAAGGGAAAAAAAAAAATTTCTCCTTTCACATTTAGGAATATATACCGGAAAGGGTTACACCCCTTTCTCCCCCCCCCCTTTTAGTCGCCCCCCTTACAACAAAGCATGGGTTTCCCGGGGGAAAAATTCTGTTCCCTTTTCCCCCTGGGGGATTTTAAAAGGAAATAAACAAGAATAAAAACTAGAAAGAAAAAAGAAGAAAAACCCCAAAGGGGGTTTTTTTATGTCTTGTACATTTTATGTGTAGTGTGGGCCTAAATGCAAGTAAATAGCAAGACATACCTAAACTTTCCCGTTTTAAGAGACAGACAAAAGACACCCGCATCCTACCATCCCGGTTTAAAAAAATTACGGGGGTTTCGGGTTTTTTTCCCCACGTGGGGGAGGACGGAGTACCCCCCCGGGGGTTTCTGTCTCCAACCTACAAACCCATATAATATATTTTTATAATATAAATTTTAAAAATATAATATATAAACACAAAATGTGAAAGAATTGCTCCTTTAAAACATGCCAAAAATTGGACCAGACAACAAGAAATCGCTGTGTTTATACCCCAAAAAATCCCTTTTAAAAGACATGGTATTGCTGTTTTTTTTTTTTCCGTTATTTGCGTCCCTTTCTTTTTTTTTTGTACGTTTAAAAAACGGTTTTTAAATGGGTGACAAGTTTAATAAGAAAGGGGGCCCAAAAAACAACTGAGAGAAAAAAAAAAATTTCTATTTTGACAATGGCAGAAAGGCCTTTCCCGGGTTTTGGGGGTACAGTGGGGCTGCGGACACCCCTGCTAAAAGAATACGTCTAACCCAATTTTCGTGTGAATCAATGAAATTTTTAAGATAAACACTTCATGCGAAAAAAAAATAAATTTTTTACCTTTGGGGCACCGCCAAAAGTCTGCCTTTTAAACCCCCCCCCCCCCCCCAAAAAAAAATATTAAGATACATGGACCCCCCCGGGTTTCCCATTTTTTTTTCATTTCCCGAAGCCCGTTCAGGTGCCATTAAAGACGGAAATTTTTTCCCCTAAGGGAAAATTGGAAAAGGGAAATTTGCCTTTTTAGACCCCCCAAAAAACACGTAAAACCACTTACAAAATTCCCTTACATAATTTGGGGGGCCCTTGGGGGGGTGATCCCTTATGAGGGGGGCCACTGGGATTCCCAAATTTTTTTTTACACATGAAAATCAAAAACATTTTTTGTTCCCTTTAAAACATTTTAATCTAATCATTAATAAAGGGGGATGGCAAGGCCAAAAGGGCCCAAAAAACTTACCCTTCCCAAAATAACTGCAGAAAAGCAGGCCCTGCATTAACCCCCAAAGTAAGATTTACGAAATTTGTAAACCCATTTTTTGGCTTTTTCTACACACCAAAAAAACTGATTTCTTAAGTGGTTTTTCCCCTGGGTTTAAAAAACCGTTTTCCCCTTTGGGGTACACCAGCAAGGCAAAAGAGAAAACCATATATTTTTAAACAGGAACATGGGTAAACGAAGGTTTCCGGTGACTGGGCCCCCCGGTATAAAAATCACACATTATTTTTTTTGGGGGGGGCCCTTAATTTTGCTTTTAACTATGTAACTATGCTGATATCATTTTCTGAATAAAAAAGATAAAACAGATAAAGTGTATTAGTAATAATAGCATCATAAAAAGCCCTTTTGTTTTGGGGGTCCCCCAAAAAGGTGATTTAAGCAATTTTACGTCCTTGCTGCTTTTTTTAAATCCCTCCCACCTCTGCAATAACCCCTTTCCCCCACTGAACCCTAATGTTTATGCTAAATATGTGTATTTGAAAAAAAAAAAAGAGAGAAAATTAAATAAAAAAAAAAAAATTTTCTTTTTTCGCGGGCCCGGGAAATTTTTACCTTTTCAAGTCCAAGATAAAGTTTCAAACGCATAAATGGGTTTTGAAAAGTCTATTAAAATGGGATTTTTAAACCCAAAAAGTTTCCAGATTCCTTTAAAAAATTTTTCTGTCAACAAAACTTTAATTTTTCCCCCTATTTTTAATTAAATTTTTGTACCGCACATAAACAATTTTAAACTTTTCCCTTAAAGACGAAAAGGGGTTTACCCCCAAAAATAACCAAGAAAAAAAAAAAAAACAGAATACGGACCGTATTAAAAAAGGCACAAATAAATTGTATCCGGGGTGACCTTTCCCCCCCCCCCCTGTTTCCTCCCAAATCTGGGTTTTGCCCCAGTAATACTTAAGATCACAGATTTCCTTAAAACCCCTTTAAAACCTTTTATAAACTGGGCCCCTTAAAAATTTTTTTGTACATCAAAACAGCAGAATCTAATAATGTTGGGGTTTATTTGGGGGAAATGAAGCCCAGAATAACACAGTACAGGCATACAGAAACACACAATATACCCCAAAAAAAAGCAATGCCTAGATTTTCATCCAAGCTTCCCCCATTTAAAAATCATAAATTAAAATTCAGATTTTACATCAAATTTTAATATTAATTTTTCACCATTTACTTTTTTTTTTCTCTTCTTTATTTACAGAGCCCCCAAGCATCTCCTGTTTCCCCTTGAAAAAAAAAAAAAAAAAAAAAAATAAAAAAGAAAAGAAACGGAGGAGAAGATGGGAACATGGGATGGTACTGTACCCTGCCTGCCCTTCCCCCATCCTCCCCCCTAGTGAGCCAAAAAATGACACAGTCAAGCCTCTCTTTCCTACGTCTCCAACTTTTTGTAAACCCCATGTCCCCCAAAAAGGGGTTTGGGCCCCTTGCCTTGATTTCCCCCTCTTCCCCCTCCAATTTTCCCGTTTTTTTCCATCCTTTCCCTATCCTTCTTCCTTTTCCCCTCTTAACGACAGCTCTCGTCGTCCTCCCATCCCCATCCGACTGTACCATGCATACAATTTGGGTAACAAATTTTTTCCCGAATCCCTTTAATTTAAAGGGTTTCAGTGCTTGCCACTACCACCATGTCCCAAATTAAAAAACCACTTTTCCCCTTCACCCATATAACACCCCCACACAAGATTCGGAAATTTTAAACCTCCCCATTTCTCTTTTTTTTTCCTCCAATTCTTTTTTGGGATGGTACAGACCCCTTCCCTTCCCCCCCTTTTTTTCCCCCCAAAAAAGGGTCTATTTCTTTTAAATTCCGAACAAACCCCCAACCTCCTCCTCACTATGTGATGTCCCATTACTATTGGTTTTTTGTTTGCGTTTATATACATCCATTTAACATGCGGGGGGCCGGTTCCAAAATACATTAAAATTTTTATTATGTAGGGAAATGCTGATTTCCGGGTTTAAACTAAGTATAGCTTCCTGGACTGGGAATTCGGCATTCTAAAGTTTCTGATACCGTACTTTTTGGGGCCACTAAAGTTAACTCAGAAACTTCATTCTGAATTAACTAACCTTTTAAAGCTTTTACAACTGTGGGAGGGTTTTGGGTGCATCTTCAAGACTTATAACCAAAAGCTGAGCTTTTTGCTGCTGGCAGACATCCTTCCCGCTCCCCCCCGTTTCCCCCTTACCCGATACCCCCACCAAATCAAGGGTTTTTGGGACCAATTCCGAGCACAAAATAAAATGGTTTAAACAGATATTTTAAATACTAAGGGCCACTAGGTTATACTGCTTTCCAAAATTTAAATTTTCTAAATTTTATTAAAAAAAGTTTTTGCCCATCCCAAATTTCCAAGCTTTACCTCCACAAAATCCAAACTATGGGCCCCTTTAGATACTACCACAAAACATTTCCAAAAAACCTTTACGTTCAAGGACTTATAGCTAGTATCTCAATGTAAATTTATATAGCAAAATGTAATTCCTGTTTCCCAAAAGCTATAGGGGTTTTTCCCAAAAAGGGCCTTTTGCCTGTAAAAGACAATAATAGGGCCCCACTTAACGGCCGATTAGGTTTTCCCGGCAAAAACCCCCGTAAAGCAGAAAATGCCATAAAATTTAAACACTTTTAAAACATACAAATACTAAAAACAAAATTTACACTAACATAAAATTAAGTTTTGTAAGTTTATTCAGATAAACAAATGGAAATTTTCCAAAAAATTTTCATGCATACAACATATGGGGGTAAAGTACCTGGGATAACCCAAAAAAACAACAATGTGATTTTTTTCCATTTTTTTTTGGGAGTGAAAAAAGGCCTTTTAAAAAAAAAAGTAAAAAAAGCACATATAGTACACTCTTTTCTTTCCCCTTTAAAAAATTTGTAGTCTTAAACTAGGGGAGAAGAGTAAATTTATTGTAAAAATCAAGTGTGGAGTTATGGGCCAGCCAGGCTACCCCTACCAGGGCCCCCCCCCACCTATACATAAAATTTCCCATAACATTTAAAACATCCCGAGCGAAAAAAGCATAACCGTTTTATTCATTACTTACCTTAAAATATTTATAGTTTAATGTGGGTCATCAGAGGTGAGTAAACGAGAAAAAACAAAAAAAAAAGGGGGAGAGAGAGAGAGATAGAGAAAAAGAGAGAGAGAGAGAGAAGGGGAGGAAAAATAAGAGAGATAGAGAGAAGAGAAGAGAGAGAGAGAGAGAGAGAGATTGGGGAATAGGAGAAAGAGGAGAGAGATAAGAGGATAAGAGAAAAAAGAGAGGGGATAGAAAAGATAAGAGAGAGATAGAGAGAAAAAGAGAGAAAATAGAGAGAAAGAAAAGAGAGAGAAGATAGAGAGAGATAGATAGAAAAAGATAAAAGAGAGAAAATAGAGAAGAAGAGAGAGAGGGAGAGAAGAGAGAGAGATTTGAAAATAGAGAGAGAGGGGAAAATAGAGGATAGAAAAGAGAGATAGAGAAATAGAGGAGATAGAAAAGAAAGACCAAGGAAAAGAGAAAATTGAAGAGATAGTTTGAGAGAGAGATAGAGAGAGAGATAGAGAGAGAGAAAAGAGAGATAAGAGAGAGGGGAGAGATAGAAGAAAGAAAGAGAAAAGAATTGAGAGATAGAGAGAGAGATAGAGAGATTGAGAGAGATTTGAGAGAAAGACAAAAGAGAGGAGATAAGAGAAAATTGATAAAAGAGAGAGAAAAGAAGAGAATTTGAGAAAATAGAGAGAGAGGGTAGAGAGAGAGAAAGAGAAGAGAGAGAGAGAGATAGAAGAGAGAGAGAGAAAAGAGAGAGATAGATAGATAGATAGAAAAGATAGAAATAGAAAAAAGATAATAGTAGAGAGGAAAAGAGAGACAGAGAGAGGACATCGTGGATTTTTTGTAAACAAACCCCGGCGAACTTGAGTTACTTAAAAAAAAAAAAGGTACACGTCTGGTTTGGGGTACAAGTTTCAATTTTGCACAAGTGGGCTCTACACTGATACGATAAATGAAAAAAAGGAACACTCCCCCTTCTCATGTAAAAAAACACAATTTTTTTTTGAAAAATGAAGGCCCCTGGAAATGAAGGCCCTACGAAAAAAGGGAAAATTTTTTTACAATTACCCCCAGAAACACTTTTCCCCCTTAAAGTTGGACTAGAGAAAACGTTATTCTTGCCGTCACTTGTACAAGTTGTCTGGCTCCCACATCACATTTTTTTTTTTTTCAACAAGTTGACCGTCTCCCACCAAGGCAGGGTGACCCAAAGAGAAAAAAAATCCCCAAAAAGAAAATACTTTCATCATCATTCAACACTTTCACCTCACTCACACATAATCACTGTTTTTGCAGAGGTGCCCAGAATATGTACAACAATTTAGAAGCATATACGTATAAAAATACACAACATATCTCTCCAAACTGCCAATATCCCAATCCCCTCCTTTAGAGTGCAGGCACTGTACTTTCCATTTCCTGGACTCAAGTCCGGTTATATAAAATAACCGGTTTCCCTGAATCACTTCACTAAATATTACCCTGCTCACACTCAACAGATTGTCAGGTCCCAAATACCATTTGTCTCCATTCACTCCTATCTAACACGCTCACGCACGCTTGCTGGAAGTCCAAACCCCTCGCCCACAACATCTCCTTTATCCCCTCCCTCCAACCTTTTCAAGGATGACCCCTACCTCGCCTTCCTTCCCCTACCGATTTATACGCTCTCCATGTCATTCTACTTTGATCCATTCTCTCTAAATGACCAAACCACCTCAACAAACCCTCTTCAGCCCTCTGACTAATACTTTTATTAACTCCACACCTTCTCCTAATTTCCACACTCCGAATTTTCTGAATAATATTTACACTACACACTGCTCTTAGACAAGACATCTCCACTGCCTCCAACCGCCTCCTTGCTGCAGCATTTACAACCCAAGCTTCACATCCATATAAGAGTGTTGGTACTACTATACTTTCATACATTCCCTTCTTTGCCTCCATAGATAACATTTTTTGCCTCCATATATACCTCAATGCACCACTCACCTTTTTTCCTTCATCAATTCTATGATTAACCTCATCCTTCATAAATCCATCCGCTGACACGTCAACTCCCAAATATCTGAAAACATTCACTCCTTCCATACTCCTCCTCCCCAATTTGATATCCAATTTTTCTTTATCTAAATCATCTGATATTCTCATCACCTTACTCTTTTCTATGTTCACTTTCAACTTTCGTCCACTAACCTTTGCAATTTTTCTTTACAATCTCCCATAAGCACAGTATCATCAGCAAAAAGTAACTGTGTCACTTCCCATTTTGTATTTAATTCCCCATAATTTAATCCCACCCCTCTCCCGAACACCCTAGCATTTACTTCTTTTACAACCCCATCTATAAATATATTAAACAACCATGGTGACATTACACATCCCTGTCTAAGACCTAGTTTATTTATTCTACTGTGGAGTGTATTTATCATCTTTATATGTTGTGTATCATGTTTATTATATAATTTTGAAAAAATATCATACATGGATTAATGAAAATGTGTATATTAATGTAATATATGACATTTAATGAGACTCAATGATTATTATTGAGTATTATTATCATTACTAATATGGCATCTCTAGACATAAGATACTCTTACAGATTTTAATGTGTACCTGCATGTCAGCACAGTGTGTAAGTTTATTTAGGTACAAGTATACAAGTAAGGCAGCCGGGATTGATGGGATAAAGACAGAAATGTTAAAAGCAGGTGGGGATATAGTTTTGGAGTGGTTGGGGCAATTATTTAATAAATGTATGGAAGAGAGTAAGGTACCTAGGGATTGGCAGAGAGCATGCATAGTTAATTTGTATAAAGGCAAAGGGGACAAAAGAGAGTGCAAAAATTATAGGGGGTGTTAATGTTGCAGTTTAAAAACTGTAGTGTAAAGCACCCTTCTGGCAAGACAGTGATGGAGTGAATGATGGTGAAAGTTTTTCTTTTTCGGGCCACCTGCCTTGGTGGGAATCGGCCAGTGTGATAACATAATAAATAAATAAAAGTCTGTTGAGTATACCTGGTAAAGTGTATGGTAGAGTTATTATTGAAAGAATTAAGAGTAAGATGGAGAATAGGATAGCAGATGAACAAGGAGGCTTTAGGAAAGGTAGGGGCTGTGTGGACCAGGTGTTTACAGTGAAACATAGTGAACAGTATTTGGATAAGGCTAAAGAGGTCTTTGTGGCATTTATGGATTTGGAAAAGGCGTATGACAGGGTGGATAGGGGGGCAATGTGGCAGATGTTGCAGGTGTATGGTGTAGGAGGTAGGTTACTGAAAGCAGTGAAGAGGTTTTACGAGGATAGTGAGGCTCAAGTTAGAATATGTAGGAAAGAGGGAAATTATTTCCCAGTAAAAGTAGGCCTTAGACAGGGATTTGTGATGTCACCATGGTTGTTTAATATATTTATAGATGGGGTTGTAAGAGAAGTAAATGCGAGGGTCTTGGCAAGAGGAGTGGAGTTAACCCTTTGAGGGTCGACAGGCCCTCTCCGAAACTCGTTCTCAGGGTCGGCCAAATTTAAAAAAAAAAAAAATTATTTTCTCTTATGAAAAGATAGAGAATCTTTTCCCGATCATAAAGACACCAAAAGTTTGAAATTTGATAGAAAACTTACGGAATTATGCTCTCGCAAAGTTAGCAGTCTCAGCGATGTTTACACATCGGCGATTTTGCCCACTTTGAGCCCCATTTTCGGCCAATTTCACTGTACTAGTCGACAAAAAACATGAATATTTCGCTAGAACTCCATTTTTTCTATCGAATGGGTGCAAGAAACCACCCATTTATGAAATTCAACTATCCAGTACAGTGGTCAGAATTTAGCAATTTTGCCAATTTCACACAAATTTCAAAAGATGCCAATTTCCGAATAGGGTCCAGAATAAACAAGAAAGACATTCCTGGCACTAAAATGACATTTCCTCTAGTCATTAGTCACGTCTCAAGGCCCCTCTTATATTCTTTTGCTTTCCACTTTGAATTTTTATTCTCACAAAAAATAGAAGATTTACTGTTATGCAGACTACTGCATTAGTGTAAAAAATGGTATAAATATTATTGGTGCACTTGTGAAAGAATATTAGACTCACCAGTTGACGTGTATTGCACGCTTGGCACGATTTGTTTACTTTTGAAGTTTGGTAAAAATCGAATATTTCTGCTACTTTGAGCTCAATTTCAAGGCACCTTTCATTGTAAAACCAGTCAAAATCATCTCAATTTCTGTAATATGTCTTCCATTCTATAAAATGAGACCAAGAAAACTAGAATACAATAAATACCATACGAAAATACACTGCAAAGTCGCTGATTTATTACAAAAAAATGGTCAAAGTTTTTTTTTTCTCATTATGCACTGTGTGCTGCAGGATTTTTTTTAGACTGTGCACACTGACCACATAGACCCATTCTTTCATATGAAGGCCTACCAGCTTTCTCCCACTAGATTTGAGGCCGCTAGAATTTATGCGTACTAGTACGTCAAAAACCCCTACGCGTAAGATGTACTAGTACGACCAAAACCCTCAAAGGGTTAAAAGATAAAGAATCACACATAAAGTGGGAGTTGTCACAGTTGCTCTTTGCTGATGACACCGTGCTCTTGGGAGATTCTGAAGAGAAGTTGCAGAGATTGGTGGATGAATTTGGTAGGGTGTGCAAAAGAAGAAAATTAAAAGTGGATACAGGAAAGAGTAAGGTTATGAGGATAACAAAAAGATTAGGTGATGAAAGATTGGATATCAGATTGGAGGGAGAGAGTATGGAGGAGGTGAATGTATTCAGATATTTGGGAGTGGACGTGTCAGCGGATGGGTCTACGAAAGATGAGGTGAATCATAGAATTGATGAGGGGAAAAGGGTGAATGGTGCACTTAGGAGTCTGTGGAGACAAAGAACTTTGTCCTTGGAGGTAAAGAGGGGAATACATGAGAGTATAGTTTTACCAACACTCTTATATGGGTGTGAAGTATGGGTGATGAATGTTGCAGCGAGGAGAAGGCTGGAGGCAGTGGAGATGTCATGTCTGAGGGCAATGTGGTGTGAATATAATGCAGAGAATTCGTAGTTTGGAAGTTAGGAGGAGGTGCGGGATTACCAAAACTGTTGTCCAGAGGGCTGAGGAAGGGTTGTTGAGGTGGTTCGGACATGTAGAGAGAATGGAGCGAAACAGAGTGACTTGAAGAGTGTATCAGTCTGTAGTGGAAGGAAGGCGGGGTAGGGGTCGGCCTAAGAAAGGTTGGAGGGAGGGGGTAAACGAGGTTTTATGTGCGAGGGGCTTGGACTTCCAGCAGGCATGCGTGAGCGTGTTTGATAGGAGTGAATGGAGACAAATGGTTTTTAATACTTGACGCGCTGTTGGAGTGTGAGCAAAGTAACATTTATGATGGGGTTCAGGGAAACCGGCAGGCCGGACTTGAGTCCTGGAGATGGGAAGTACAGTGCCTGCACTCTGGAGGAGGGGTGTTAATGTTGCAGTTTAAAAACTGTAGTGTAAAGCACCCTTCTGGCAAGACAGTGATGGAGTGAATGATGGTGAAAGTTTTTCTTTTTCGGGCCACCCTGCCTTGGTGGGAATCGGCCAGTGTGAAAAAAAAAAGAAAGTATACATAAGTATAATTATCAGAGTATATAAAAAATACGAAATAACTTTAAAAAAACTTGAAATTTTGGAGTTTCCAGACACAATGGAGAGACGTGGTGCTTATGGAGCTCATGGAGAATGTAAACAAACAGGGTTGGGTGCAGTGACCATATTAGAAAGTCAGGAGGGGGGGGGGGCATATAGTGTGTTTAGGTCAAAATTTGAAATGACCGTATTAGCGGAACACCGGAAAGTGAAACGCCGTAAAGCGGGGCCCTACTGTACTAATGCCTGTCATGCACAAACTTTGATAGATAAAAAATTTGAACATTTTAGTGGACTGACAAAGGTGTGTAAACAATGGAAAGTACCTAAGAAAATACAGTCTGTGATTACAATAATCAAGAATTACCTCTAGCAAAGCAAGATGAGAGTTCTTCTTGAGGAAAGTCCGTGATGTCTTTTCTAACCATGCGTGTGCTGCAGCAACATTCTCTTCTAGTCCAGCCAATGCCTCTAGGTGCAAGGACACAGGACGGCCTCTAGCAACTAGTCCTTCTATCGTCTCTAGAAGAGGAGCAGTCTCACCTTTCTGCAGAGTGGCTACCTTATTTGTCCACTCCCTTGCCCTTTTAACAGCATCCTTCAGGGCAGCAACACTTGGGAGGTGTGCAGGCACCTCCTCTGCTTGCTTTACCAACTCTTCACCCTTACTTACACTTATGCCTGGCCTAAGAGAAATTTTAAATATCAGTAAATCCTCCACTGTTTATAGGTAATTATATAACCAGTTTTTAAACCAAAGAACTTAAATGCTAATGAATGTTTCTCCTTCTCAAGGCAAACCTACCTAGGTGGGAGACGGCTTGTGTGTTACAAGAAATAAATAACTACAATCTCTTTAACACTATTATTTTGAATCCATGCAGTTATAGTTCTGCATTTTATTTTTTGAGCCAATACAAAGAAATTCTTTCATATATTTTTATTTATTGTAAACAGAAATGTCCTATAAATTCACTGATTTTTTCGAAAATGTCAGCCGTCTTGTACCGAGGCAGGGTGACCCACAACAGAAAAACACTTTCACCATCATTCACACAATCACTGTCTTTGCAGAGGTGCTAAGATACGACAGTTCAGATGACACTCCAAACAGCATATACCCCTAACCCCTCCTTTAAAGTGCAGGCATTGTACTTCCCACCTCCAGGACTCCAGTCCGGCTAACCAGTTTCCCCTGAATCCCTTCACAAAATATTACCCTATTCACACTCCCACAGCTCATCAAGTCCCAAAAACCATTTGTCTCCATTCATCCCTATCTAACATGCTCACACATGCCTGCTATATATCCAAGTCCCTTGCACACAAAATATTCCCATAAATTCAGTGAAGCCACACTGCCTCATGAGTAATAAATATGAGTACAGTTAAACCTCAATTTAATGGTCTAATGATAGAGGGTGTCCATTAAAGCCAACTATAAGTTAAATCAGAGCAATAAGATTCTTGTCCATGACAGTAACAAAAATGAACAATTTTAGATTTAATGGACTTTGTTGCTTCCAGATTTCGTCTAGCCACAAGTTTAGTTTGTTAAATTCAAAATCCATTAAATTAGGACCCTTTAAATCAAGATTGTAGCATAGTAAAAGTAATATGAAATACAAGAAGAATAGTGTCAGTTACGAAGTCCAGCAGTCAGTAAAAGTAAGGTAAAGAAGTGTCAGTGTCACAGTAATTAGAGAGTAAAGTGAAATACTAAGCTTTTAGTTTTAAACTGCTTGCAGTGAATATTGATGTCTGTACGCATTGCTTATTTAACCCTTAAACTGTCCAAGCAGATCTATGTTCACATGCGTAGTGCTCCAAAAGTAGATCTCCGTTTTTTTCTTTTACGTATTTTCAAAAATAGGAAAAAAAAAATGTAGATCAAAGTTTTTTACACAATTTCAAATGTAAAAAAAGAAAAAAAGATTACTTTTTTTACATACTTTCAAATGTTGAAAAAACGTAGATCTACATTTGGACAGTTTAAGGGTTGTAAAGTAAAAGGACACAAGTGCAACTAATGTGACATTTATTGTGGCAACGTTTCGCTCTCCAGGAGCTTTATCAAGCTCCTGGAGAGCGAAACGTTGCCACAATAAATGTCACATTAGTTGCACTTGTGTCCTTTTACTTTACATATTGTCGGTAATTCTACCAACTTTATTACAGTTTAAGGGTTAATGAAAGTCTTACATAATTTATACATAAAGCCTTAATGTAAAAATAAATGAACTTACTTAGCATTCAGTACTTGACTAGCCTTTTCTTCCCATGTTTCCATATTTGTAAGTAATTGCTGCAACTGGGCCATGGCCTTTTCAATTCGAGGATGAGGGGGTAATGCGATTCCTGTGTCGAGAAGCTTGCGTACACACTCCACGGTCACAGATGTGCTGTCCTCCAGTGTTTCTTCCACCTCTTCTAGCCACTCAACCTAGCAATAAAAAATATATTTAAAAATTAAATAATTAGGATAAAACAGAGTAGGGGAGTTAGTTGATGGGAAGCTGGAGGTATTGGGTAGATGCGGGAATATTTTGAGGAACTTTTAAATGTCGATGAAGAAAGAGAGGCGGTAATTTCATGCAGTGGCCAGGGAGGTATAACAACTTTTAGGAGTGAAGAAGAGCAGGATGTGAGTGTGGGGGAGGCAAGTGAGGCATTAAGTAGAATGAAAGGGGGTAAAGCAGCTGGAACTGACGGGATCATGACAGAAATGTTAAAAGCAGGGGAGGGGGATATAGTGTTGGAGTGGCTGGTATTTTTGTTTAATATATGTATGAAAGAGGGGAAGGTACCTAGGGATTGGCAGAGAGCATGTATAGTTCCTTTATATAAAGGGAAGGGGTACAAAAGAGATTGTAAAAATTATAGAGGAATAAGTTTACTGAGTTTAGGTAGTAGGTTGGTAGACAGCAACCATCCAGGGGGGTACTACCGTCCTGCCAAGCGAGTGTGAAACGAAAGCCTGTAATTGTTTTACATGATGGTAGGATTGCTGGTGTCTTTTGTCTGTCTCATAAATATGCAAGATTACTTCTACTTACACTTAGGTCACACTACACACACATGTACAAGCATATATATACACACCCCTCTGGGTTTTCTGCTATTTTCTTTCTAGTTCTTGTTCTTGTTTATTTCCTCTTATCTCCATGGGGAAGTGGAACAGAATTCTTCCTCCGTAAGCCATGCATGTTGTAAGAGGCAACTAAAATGCCAGGGGCAAGGGGCTAGTAACCCCTTCTCCTGTATATATTACTAAATGTAAAAGGAGAAACTTTCATTTTTCCTTTTGGGCCACCCTGCCTCGGTGGGATACAGCCAGTGTGTTGAAAGAAGAAAGAAGAAGTTTACTGACTATACCAGGAAGTATACGGTAGGGTTATTATTGAAAGAATTAGAGGCAAGACAGAGAGCAAATGAGCAAGGAGGCTTTAGAGTGGGAAGGGGACGTGTAGATCAAGTGTTCACATTTAAGCATGTATATGAACAGTATTTAGATAAAGGTAGGGAAGTTTTCATTGCATTTATGGATTTAGAAAAGGCATATGATAGAGTGAATAGGGGAGCAATGTGGCAGATGTTGCAAGTATATGGAATATGTAGTAAGTTACTAAATGCTGTAAAGAGTTTTTATGAGGATAGTGAGGTTCAGGTTAGGGTGTGTAGGAGAGAGGGAGACTACTTCCCGGTAAAAGTAGGTCTTAGACAGGGATGTGTAATGTCACAATGGTTGTTTAATATATTTATAGATGGGGCTGTAAAAGAAGTAAATGCTAGGGTGTTGGGGAGAGGAGTGGGATTAAATTATGGGGAATCAAGTACAAAATGGGAGTTGATACTGTGCTTATGGGAGATTCTAAAGAAAAGTTGCAAAGGTTAGTGGACGAGTTTGGGAGGGTGTGTAAAGGTAGAAAGTTGAAAGTGAACATAGATAAGGGTAAAGTGATGAGGGTATCAAATGATTTAGATAAAGAAAAATTGGATATCACATTGGAGAGAAAGAGTATGGAAGAAGTGAATGTTTTCAGATATTTGGGAGTCGACTTGTCAGCGGATGGGTTTATGAAGGATGAGGTTAACCAAAGAAGTGATGAAGGAAAAAAGGTGAGTGGTGCATTGAGGTATCTGTGGAGACAAAAAACATTATCTATACACACACCCATACACAGCCAAGTTTCCCACATACTTTTATGTTTTAATACAGTGTACCCCCGGATTAAGTAGTCACTGGAAAAGCTAATTAATATTCTGAATAAGTAATGTTTTTTCGTCAAAATACTGGCTCAGTGAATGTCACTACTCGGGGAAAATCAAATTTGTCTTCCCAAAATGTCAGGTTTGGGCCCCGGGGCCGGCCCTGACCCCCCCATGTACTGCCATGTGGCCCCTTTTTTTAACGGCCATGAAGGGCAGTCCAACGCGTTCCCTTTCAATACCCTTTTGGGATTTTTTTCCTTTCTTTTTGTGCTTTTAAATGCTAAATAAGGCCCCCCAAAGGGCCCAAAGAAGGCTCAGTTTCCCGCTACCCTTTTGGGAAAAAGGGAAGGGGGAAAAGGGGGGGGAAATTTTTGCCTTTTTTCAGTGATTCCCGGGAATAAGTACATATTAAAGGGACAGGGGTCCGATAAAAGGGTATAGTGCCAGCCCCGATCAATTTTAAAATTAAAAATGACAAGTAACTTTAGTGATTTAATCGGGAGAAAAAGGACAAAAACCAAACTGACCCCCCTCCATTGTTGTTGGAGGTATAAAAGGCCCCACGGCCAAATTTCTGCCACCCCTTCCCGCAAAAACCAACCCATGTAAAAGGCCCCTTTTTTTCAGTGGCCCTTATACAAACCCCAAAAACAAACCCAAAACCACCAAACCCCCTTGTTACATTCTTAATGCCATATTTTAAATTTATTTTAGAGTATAAAAATTCATGTTTCCCATGTTATTAAAAATTGTTTATTTTTGTCATATTAGACTAATTTTGCTAAATAAATAAGCCGTAAAAGCTGAAAATTAAATGCCCTAAAAGGGAAAGGGCTATCTTGTTTTTGGGGCCTTCCCCAAAACAATTTTCCCAACATAAACCCCGAAAAAAGATCCTCTTGGGAAAACTTTTTTGGTGAAAGGGGTCCCGGACCTTTTAAACCCCGGCCAAAAGGGGCAATTTAAAAAAAACCCCCAAAAAAAAAGGGAAAAAACCCCGGGTAAGGGCTTTCTCCCGAAGTCTTTTAAAGGGAAGGGGGTTTCCCCGATAAATTTTAAAAACCAAATTTTTTATAAAATTAATTTCGGAAAAGGTCAGATTTTAGGAAAAAGGCACTCTCCTTAACTGATTAATTAGTAAACCCGGGTCCACTGTTTCATTGGTTTGTTCCCCCCCGAGGTAGGAAAGACCCGACAAAGAAAAACACTTTCACCAACCCTTTCCCCAAAAACACTTTTCTTTCCCAAAAAAGGGAAATTTATAGTACAGGATCCTGCCCCCCTAAAAATGCAAATATCCCCAACCCTCCTTTTAAGTTACCTACATTAAAAATCTTGTCCCCGTTTAAATTAAATATCATGAGAAATAAAAGTAAAAGTGGAAACCCAAAAAGTTTTTTTTTTTTTTTTTTTTTTCAACAAGTTGGTCGTCCCCCCGACGGGGTACCCAAAAAAGGAAAATCCCAAAAAAAAATACTTTCATCATCATAAACACTTTCACCACAACTCACACATTACACTTTTTTTTTTTTTCGAGGGGCCAAATACAACTTTTAGAAGCATATACGTAAAAGATACAAAACTAACCCCAACTCCCAAATTTCCCAAACCCCCCTCCTTTAAAGTGCAGGCTTTTGTATTTTCCCTTTTCCAGGACCAAGCCGACTATAAGAAAATAACCGGTTTTTCCCTAATCCCTTCACAAAAAATTTTACCCCTGCTCACACCCAACAGATCGTCGGGCCCAAGTTCATTCGTCTCCATTCACTCCTACTAACACGCTCAGCACGCTTACTGGAAGTCCAAGCCCCTCGCCCACAAAACCTCCTTTACCCCCCTTTTTTTTCCCCCCCAATTTAAAACTAATTCGTTCCAAAGCTGTTTGGTCCCAAAAAAACGAACAATTTGTTTCCCATAAGGAATAAGTAAATTAGACAATCCTTTCAGACCCCCCAGAAATACTTCCCAAAATACATTTACGAAATTTTTTTCAAGTTGGGAATTTTCGAACAGGGTCCACGACTGTAAACAAATTTAACTACGCTTATCCCAAATAGCTGACTGAAAGAGAATCTTTAGTCACTGGTGACAATTAATTCTTTCTGCTTCAGCTATCAGAGGGGCAAATTAAAAAGGTTTATACCCACTAACCCTGCAGTTTATTTTTAGTCGGGGCAACTGGAAGATCAATATCTAAAAAACGCCTGACAAACCATTTTGGAAATGCCCCTCGAGTTCGGGTTTTCTTATTGAGCTTTCTATCCCCCGCTGGAAAGGGTTTCACCTTGCAAGAGCTCTTTACAGCCCCTCAAACCTTAAGCACAACACAACCAGCGTTTCTTTTTGCTCGTGGAATAATCTTAGCTCCTTAGTGTTAACTACTTTAGCTTCTCCACTTCCCCCGGGCCCCTTCAAAAAAAAATGCAAAATGTTCAAAATTTATAATTTTTTTTTTTTATTTAAATTAGAAAAAAAAAAAAAAATGGGCAGAAAGACAAAAATTTTATGAAGCGAGGATTAATAAAATAATACAAATTCTATCAGATATGTAAATCACAAAATTCAGAAGAACTTTACAAAAGGTGAAAAAGCAACCCGCGCATGTGATTACGTAAAATTGGTAACACAAAAAGAAAATTACATCACAATCTAGGGGAGCGTTCTAACTGCCTGAATGCGGAAAGGGCCCAAACGGATGGGGAAGAGCTTCCACACTCTTTATTGAATCACCCCCCATTCATTAAACTTTTAACAAACTGCCGTACCCCCCTGAGGGGGGGGGCCCCGGGAAATGGTTTCTCCTTTCCCTTTAGTAAATAAAGGAGAAGGGGGTTACTCCCCTTGCTCCCCATTTTAGTTCCTCTTGCGACATCAGGCTTACGGAGGGAATTCTGTTCCCCATGGAGATTATTATATATATGGACCCCGCTAACGTCACCTCCCAATCACCAAATTTTTAAGTGTATTTTTGTAAGTGCGTTTGTACGGTATGTTTTGGGGGTCTGAAATGGACAACACTTCAAAATTTCCTAAGGGAAAAAATTCGGTCAGTACTGGCCCGAACATACTTCTGGAGAGAAAAAATATCTTAACCCGGGGGGCCACTGATATAAAATCAGGTATAGGTTTGGGAACACAACCGCCAGGGGGGACTACCTCCTGGCCAATGATGAAAATGAAAGCCTGTAATTGTTTTACCCCTGATGGTAGGGGGCTGGTTCTTTTGCGTCT